GTTTAGGGATTAGGGTTTAGGGGATTCGGGATTAGGGATTGGGGTTTAGGGATTAGGGTTTAGGGATTAGGGTGCATGTCGAGAACGGTTCACCTGTACGCTCCATGAATTTCATTAATGCCCCTTACTTGCGAGTCCCTGTTTAACGGATCCCAGCTTCAACTGAAATACTGGAGTCTCTGGGCATAAGGCTGGACATCAGTGAGATCCACGATCGCGACCAGGCGTTGGTCCAAAGCCTGTTGCTGCTTGGGCTTCCATATAGAGCCGGGCCTCAAAACTCCAAAACCTCAGTCCTAAACTTAAAACCCTAAACCCTAAATCCTAAATCCTAAATCTAAACCCTCAATCCTAAATCCTACACCCTAAATCCTACACCCTAAATCCTAAATCCTAATCCCTAAATCCTAAACCCTAAATCGCCCTGAGGTTTGGGATTTCGAGGTTGTAGGATTTAGGGCCTGAGAGCATACAGCTCGCAAGCCCGACCTCCCTCCACTGTTTCGCTGCCCTTGTGAGTTTGTGGGTTTGGGGGGTTTTGGGGTTTAGGGTTTAGGGTTTAGGGTTCAGGGTTTAGGATTTAGGGTTTTGGGTTTTGGAGGTTCAAGTCTGGGGTTTGTGGCGGGTCCCGGGTTGAAGAATGACTGCTGGCTGCTGGTACTCCTTCTTCGCACTTGTCATATCACGGAAGTCCTTTGTTAAAGTGTTCTAATACATCATGCCTGGACAACTCTTCTAGTTATTCAGAAACTAGCGTCCCTTTTTGGGTCCCCAAACTAGTAGGCCCTTGTTTGGAAACAATAACCTTAAACGGGACCCTGCTTTAGAGAACTACCCTAAAACCTGAGCCCCCTGCTGCACGCTGGGCTCGACCACGAAAGCCGGCACGCCGGGGCGTGGGGTCTAGGGCTTCAGTTGCTGAAGCTTGATCAACTGCTCAGGAGCCCTTTCTATTCTCGGTAATTAAACGGAGGGTTTCGAGGCAAGTTGTTAGTTGCACTACAATGCGAATCCCTCGACCCCACAGCCCTGGGCTAAGCTACCCTCAAACCTCTTGCCTTTAAGGAGCCAAACCAAACGGACAGACCCTAAACCCTCAGCTTTCAATCGCTACCTTCCCAAGCCCAGATTTCTTCAGGAAGGGCTCCACATCCCACAACTCTAAGCCCTCAACCCTAAGCCCTAAGCCCTAAATCCTAAGCCCTAAGCCCTAAACCCTAAGCCCTAAACCCTAAACCCTAAACCCTAACGAAAACCCTCCCTCAAGGCCCAGGGTCCTCAATCCGAACCCCCCGGACCCTCCCTAAGGAAGGGCTCCCAGGTCCGACCTTTCCCGAAGAAAAGAGCGTAGGGTTTAGGGTTTA